TCGGAGCCCAGGGGAGAATCACCCCACTTGGGAGCAGCCCAGAAACTTTATTTCCAGAGCTGCCCAGGGTGCTGCAGGTTCAGCTGTGTCCCAGACACCCAGTGGCCTTGCTGAAAACCAGTGCCACGGGCTGTGCTCTCCTCCAGGGCACACTGGCCAGGGTGTGGCCACAGCACAAGGGAGTCCCCTGGGCTGGTGTCATCCCGTGGAGTGAGGGCTTTGGTTCCAGTGTGTGCTGTCACCCTCTGTGCTGCCAGCTGGGGACACATTTTGTGCCATGGACACTTTGGGCTCGTCCTCCCCTCACCACCCCTCTCGCAGCCTGTCCAGCTCCTCCGGCCCCAGGGCCTCCCCAGCCCACCTCCTTGCCTCTCCTTCCTGCAGGGTGTACAAGAACAGTGAGGAGCTGAGGACAAGGATTGCCTCGGGCATCATTGCTTCCCTCGGGGCGCCCACAGACAAGGCCAAAAAGGAGCTGGAGGCTGAGAAGAAGGATCCTGACGTGCAGCGGGACTCTGACCCGCTCAGGGTCCCTCCCCGGCACCCGGCAGGGACGAGAGCACCCTCCTGGTGAGCAAAGAGTGGGGGGCTGCTGCTGGGCCCTCTGTCAGATGGGACGTGGTCCTGGCACAGCTCTGCAAACTGCACCCCTGGGGCCTGTCTTGCACAACCAAAGAGCATCCAAACCCTCCCCTGGCAGATTGAGCCTCGTTGGCTGAGTGCTTGGTTTGGGTTTAGGTTGTCCACTGAGGGACAGGATCAAAGAGTCATAGAATTGTTTTCAGTGTGTCCAAAGAAGGGCAACAAAGCTGGGGAAGGGTCTAGAGCCCAAGTGTGGGGAGGAGCAGCTGAGGGAGCTGGGGGTGCTGAGCCTGGAGCAAAGGAGGCTCAGGGGAGACCTTCTGGCTCTGCACAGCTCCTGACAGGAGCCTGGAGCCAGGGGGGGGTCGGGCTCTGCTCCCAAGGGACAAGCAACAGGACAAGAGGAAACGGCCTCAAGTTGCCCCAGGGGAGGTTTCAGTTGTCCCTGAGGAACAATTTCTTGCCCTGGAGGGTTGCCCAGGGCTGTGCCAGGCTGCCCAGGGCAGTGGTGGAGTCCCCACCCCTGGAGGGGTTCCCAAGCCGTGGAGATGTGGTGTGAGGGACATGGTTTAGTGATGCCCTGGCCATGCTGGGGGAAGGGTTGGTTGGATTCCATGATCTTAAAGGCTTTGATGACCTTAAAGGTCTCTTCCAACCCAAATGATTCAGTGATTCTATGAAACCCTTTGCTTGCAAAGCTGGGGAGAGCAGACACATGGCACCCACTTCACCATCCCTCCCTGACCTCTTCATGCCCGGCCATCCCTCGTACGTGGCAGGTGGGCTCCCCCCTTGCTCCCCCCACGAGCTGTACCCCACTTTGTCTGGAACTTGTAGACACTGTGGTGGCTCTGCTGTCTCTGAGGGACCAGCTGTGGCCTCTGCCTTGCGTGTCACCTCCTGCTGCTGTAGCCGTGCCACTGTCTGCTGGTGCTCAGAGTGCAAGATGCTCCTCGGGGAGGTCTGGGCAGACAGGCTGGAGCTGGGCACATCTCTAAGATCAGGGTGTTGGCACGTAGTGCTGGCAGGGAGATGTGACAGCTGGCACTCCTGGAAGCTGGAGCATCATTGTGTCTCCAGCTGGGACACGCTGGAGAGCCTGGCCCAGCCCAGCACTGCTCAGGGAGCCCCTGGCATGGAAACTCCCAGTGCCCACAGACAGCTCCAGCCGGGAGCAGCGGGGCCTCCTTCAGCTCAGCGAGCTTCCCACGAGCTGCCACGCACCCCAGCGTTCAGGGGGTGGCTCCCAGTGCCTCTCAACAGGGTTCTGCAGCCCTTTTGGAGAGCACCCATGGGCACAGCAGCTGTGAGCTGGATGCCCTGCCCTGCCTGCTGCCTCTCCCCTCCACTGCGCCTCTCACTGGGTTGTGTCTTTCAGGCCTCCCCCCTCGAGCCCCTTCGCTGTTGGTGGGGAAGACTTGGACCCGTTTGGGTGAGTATGGCTGGGGGGGGGGCACCCCTCGCGTGGGTGAGTATGGCTGGGAGGGGTCACGCCTTGCGTGCCTGGGGAGCAGCCCCTGCTCTGCCCTGGGGGCTTGGGGGTGGCTGGGGACCTTCTCTGGGACAGCTGGGGCCCACCTGGCTCCGGCGTGGGGCGAAGCGCGCGCGGTGGTGGGTGGTTGCTCAGTGCAAGTTGCCAGAGACCAGTTGACAGTTGCTAAACCTCAATATGGTTCTAATATCATCAGAAGATCCCGTCCCTTGCCTAGATGATAGGCTGCAATCTGCGGCTGTTTAATAATCAGCTTGTATTCATTTAACATGCAGTAATTCCTTCAGTAAATCAAAGCTGAATACATCGTTAAGTGAATGTAAGCCTCTAATTTAAAATGTTCCCAGCTGCTGTGTCTACAGCCCAGCAGTCTGGAGAAGGGGAGGCTTAAAGCCGAGTCCTTTTGAGTCCTGGTTGTCAGCCTCCCTGCTGCCTGAGGCACTGGAGAGAAAGCCTGGGCAGAAGCAAGGGCTGTCTGGGGGCCTGATCTTCACAGATACATCTCAGTGTCTTTGGTTTGCTTGGGCAAGGAGAACCTGTCATCTTCCATCCCAGTTAAAAGCACATAGTCAGACAAAAAGCAGCTCTTGGAGTCATTGCAGAGCATCCCGTGGCCCAGGGGAGGCCTCTTTGGAACCACTCTCCTGTGGGGATCGCATTTTTTCCCCACTTTTGCAAGACTTGGTTCTCCGTGGGTTTGGCTAGAAAAGGGCCAGCTAAAAAACATCCTGCCTGGCTGGAAGGATCAGCCTGGAGCCTGGAAGGAAGGCTGATAACATGAGGAGAGGGGGTTCAGTTGGGGGGACACCCTGTTTCTCTCACTGCCTCCAGCCCTTCATCAGAAATCTCTCTGTAAAAGACAGAAAAACCAACACAAGGTTGTGCATGGAAGCAGATGGGTGTGCTGGCACCTGCTGGGGCTGGGCACCCAGACTGCCCCCGGGCACATGCTGCTGGGCCTGGCAGTGCTGGGCCTGGCCTAATGGAACTCATTAGCGCCGTCGTTAATGACTGGGATGATGGCAGCGGTGTCAGAGGCTCCCCGCTGAGTTTGCACAAAGCCGACCCTGAGGAATGGCACTGGCAGGGTGGGGCAGCTCCCAGGAGACTCCGTGGTCAGCAGATGACTTCTCAGCAGCGATTTGGGGAGGCTGGTGGGGCCCAGGCCAGGCCCTGAGCTCTCACAACGTGGCACGGGCAGGAGGGTGATGATCCCCACAGGGGTGGGCACCGAGTCCCTGCCCTGGCTGCTGCCAACAGAGCTGGTGGCTAACCTAGCAACAGGACTAGAGGAAACAGCCCCAAGTTGCCCCAGGGGAGGCTGAGGTTGGAGCTGAGGAACAATTTCTTGCTCTGGAGGGTTGCCCAGGGCTGTGCCAGGCTGCCCAGGGCAGTGGTGGAGTCCCCACCCCTGGAGGGGTTTCCAAGCCGTGGAGATGTGGGGGGAGGGACACGGGGCAGTGGGGACCTGGCAGTGCTGGGGGCACAGTTGGGCTCCATGATCTCAAAGGTCTCTT